ATGTGTTGCTTTGCTTTTTAACCCTTCAATCTCCTCGAAACCTTCAGCTTTGTTGCTTTTTAGCAGTCTCTTTGTTTAAGCCTGTTATCCAATTCGGAGGCTCCTTTTGACTCGATCTAGGCTTGTGTCCATCAGAAACAGAGCAGTTTTTCTCTAGCTGCTTGGTGATTTTCATTCTGCCATAAAACTCAGGTTTCAAGCATTGGGTGCTTGGAAAGCTCCTCTTTCAAAAATATGTATGTCTACTTGTAAATAGGGTTCTTCTTGTTGTTTAGGAGGCCATTAAGGGTTCCTTAAAAACGAAAGCAAATTCTTCCGACATCATTTTCTACATGTATAAGATTTGAAACTCTATTTGATAAAAATAAACTCCTTAGCACTCGATACAATGAGTATCAATTATGTTTTACTCTCTAGCGTTAATGTTGTGAGTATTATTTTTTTAGTGTTGATCGTATTTTGATAATTCGAATGAAAAAAAATGATGTTTTTGACGGTTTAAAAACTATCTTTTTAAAGAAAAAGACATGTTATGTACATGTAGGAAACTGTCTGGTTCCTTAAGCAAAAGCCCCTACATTCCCCCTTTTTCAAGCAGTCTCCTTGTCATTTTTTCTTATGTTTTTTTGGTAGTTAATTAACAAAGGATTAAACTAATGAAGTTGACGGCAAAACACTCCAAAGGAAAAATGGGAATCCTTAACAAAATCCATTAATCTAAGGCTAAAAAGGTGAAGGTTCCACCATCGACATTGTTGCCATTTGGTCCCAATTATAAGTTGTCGAGGAACTTGTCCATGTCATAGTTGTCGAGACCAAAGTCATCCTCTCCACGTGGCACCCATTTTACCAAATGCTGGGGATAGAGATCACTTGGTGTAATTTAGTCTTCTTCTTTCTATTCGTGATTGACATCTGATGAAAGCTATATATCATCCATTTTGTTTGAAAATTTCTTTAAGGAAATCAACTGACATGTTTTCCATTCAATAATGTTAAACCCTGAAATTAAAATATTTGTTGGAAAAAAACGGTGTTGAGAATGTTGGCCGGTCCAATGGGATTTTATTTAGTTTTGTTAGAGTTTTATAATTGGAATTTTGTTTGATCTGATTTGAAAAATACATACTGAATTTTATTAAATTTTTTTATTCAAGTTTTATTTGATTTTATTCGAGAACTTCATACTACAACTTTTCTGATAAAAAAATAAAATAAATAGACACAAATTAGATCTACAAGGGCGGACCTTATTGCACAAATTAAAGGTTAGTTTGTCCTAAATCTCTGTAATACTCAATTTTTTTATTAATCTAAGGTGATTACAATGTAATATATATTCTAGATGTTTTTAATCATTTTATAATGAAAACTCAAACACTTTTACAGTTTTTTATGTTTAAATCTAAGACCTCTAGAAAAAAAACAACAATTTCTTTAACTATTGATATAATTTAGTTCGTACAAGACCCAATTTAGTTTATTAATGTTCAAACAGTTTGTAAAAAATCTAATTTAAATCTTCATTTTGATATTTCTATAAATAATTAATGCGGTAAATCTTTGGAATGCTCGTCGTTTATGAAATTTTGACAGCCTACCGTACCAAGCTTGTAGAGCTTGTTTTAGATCAGATAAGACTTCATTCAGCTTGTAAACGTGGTTTGGGTGTACAATATTTGTAAATTCTCTAGGTTGTTTGCCATTTACTTCTTCTTAAATGACATTATTAAGATACTTTTTGCACCCATGTGGTATAATTTTATGTTTAGATGGATCAAAATATAATTTTAGTGACAAATAAATATATTATAATTTTATTATTTAGGAAGATTAAAATACTATTTTACTATTATATATTATATTATATTAAAACTCTAAAATGTTAAGGAACTAAACATGTGATTTTACCATTCTTGTCCCTTTGATTTCCCTCTTAGTACCACTTGAGCTAGCTAGTGAAGAAAATATAAAAGCTGTAATTCATATTTAAATCTTAAAGATGTATTATTAAAAATAAAACTAATTGATCCTAACATTTGGATTGTTCCTATTTTTCTCTCTTTTCCTTTAGTTGTTGTTAGTTTTCTTCTTCTTTATCTTTGTGATTGGCAGCAGTACAAGCCTTGATATTGACTGTTTTTCAAATACTTTATTATAAAATATATATTTTTTTAATAATTATGTTTTTATGACATGTTTTTCTCTGTTTTATGGTACATTTTTAATCGTTTGATCGTTGTTTTCATTTATCATTTTTTCAGGGTTAGATTTGACATTGTCACGACTGATCAAGATAACACTTATTTGTTATCATTATGATATTCTCTGCTTTGGATCCTCATATTGGATTTAGATACGCAATTTGTGTTCGTAGATAGTATTTTCATATCTCTCGATTCTAATTTGTGATTTGTGTGTGGTCTTTCAATAGCTTCATTTTATTTTACGGTTCATTTACCAATGCAACCAGATATGTTCATATCTACCTTTTGTTCGAGTTTATTTTGCTAGATTTTTTAATCTTTTCCTTATTTGACTATTGTGTGATCTTAAGTGACTAGTTTTCTTGTGTATAGAAAAATGTGTTGTTTAAATTACGATTGTAATTATAAATTTTCATTGTAATTTGAATATTTTTATTTTTAATAAAATTAACGGCTTCTATAAAAAATAATATTGTGAACTTAAAATATAAATGGTAAAAAATATAAAAGAAAAAATAATTGAAATATTAAAAAAGAAAACTTGTCTCATATTGATGTGAAGCGTTTCACCTGAGGGTTGAAAAACGAAGTGGTTTCACCTTACAATTTGGACTTCACACAGCTTGACTGCAAAGATCTTGTCACAATCATTTCATTATTTTTTTACCCTTCTCCCAGCCCTGAATTTGATGTATTCCATCTGACATGCTTCTTTTCACCCCCCATACTAATATTTGCTTTCAAACCCTTTTTCCATCCTCTCTTTTTATTTTTATTTTAACAATTAATTAAACATGTATAAATAACTTTAAATTACACGAAGAATCCTTGTGAATCAGTTCTTCAAAGGGCCTTTCCTACGAATTTGAATAATTCAAATTTTATATATTTGATAATTTATATCAAGTGAAGATTTTGAAATTAAAAAAGGATTATGTTTAACGATAAGCGGTAGTTAGAGTCATTATGACTTGTCAAATGTTTAGCGATCGAAGTTATCGGAGCAGTTGGATTATCCCATGTGTCAGTTGGATTGAAATTATAAAGTCGTAATCTATCTATCTATCACGCACACCTTAATTCATTTCAAATGAAATAATTCATTGCACGATCTACTAGACAATTAAGATGCTTCACAAAGAATAAAAACTCAAATACAGAAAGAATTCCCACCGACTGTATCCGGATGGAAATCCTTTTCCCCCCATATTTAATGGGATTATTATACTACAGGTGCGGTGCCACATTTAAAACTGTTGCTAGTCCTGATAGGGACAAACGTGTGGTTTTAGGTAAAATGGACAAATTAATAAAATTATAAGAGGTAAAATAAATAAAAATATCTAAAATATATGATATTTTAAATTTTTTAAAAGGTGTCTCCACCCGTTTTCCTTCTGTCCATCTTGACCCTCGCTAACTCCATTATTACTGAACACCAGCAGCTATAAAAAGAAGTCCGGCAAGTGAAGTACAATTCTCCACAGAAATGACTGGCTTCACTTCAAATCAAATGCATGCCATTGTGAGTAATCAGAAAAAGGAAATCAATGCCTGCCTCTAAATGCTAAAAGACTTTGAGCTAGTACTAGTCTAATTCTGGGAATTTGCTTGTACCTTTACCAAGGGCTTCACCCCACTTGAACAGTTCATTTGCAGGCGTCAACATCGTTAAACTAACGAGGGGTTAACATTTATTATCTTTTATGCTCTCTCCTTTTGAAATCTAAACAACTTTGTACTAAGAGCTGAAGCAAATGAACCCAAATTGTCCAAGGAATTTTCACAAAAGGCACTAAAATCCAGAGCTGCTAACAAATGGTTGGTTGTAGAGAAATTGACTGGTTTATGTCCCTTTTTGTTTCCTTTGCAGAGATAGATGCCAAGAAATGCAGCAACAATGGATGTTAAGATGTTGCTTTCGGCTGATTTTTCATCAAAGCAGAGATCAAAGTTTATGGTTATGATCTTCGAGCTAAACCGGTTTAAGCAGAGCATCACCCTAGACTATAACAAAGTTTTAACGTCCTATTTGTAGAAAACCAAATGAGCAAATAAAATGAAATTATATAGTAAGAAGCCAAGAATATTATTTCGGATAAAAGTGAATAAACGATCGTAAAAAAAACTATCTAGAGAAAAATCAAGGATAAAGAAAAAGAATTTCATACGAAGATTATATGAGAATGCGACAATTCCTACAACCTTTACCCTATATATATAACCTGAAAACCTCTGCATCCCCTACAAATTTCATTACCTACAATAACATGTTGAAATCTCAAAATATATCAAATTTCTTTATAGTTTCATCTCCGAAACCATAAATTTACTTTTGACATTCCCTAAGAATTTTTTTTAATTGAGTGAATAAATGACACACTAATGTAGGTTGAACATAATTCTGATCAAACGTGTAATGTAATACATGAAATTTGATTGTGTAATTGTATACAACTAACTTAGATTTGATTAGTAATTGAATACACCAAACTTAGATTATATTTAATTTTTGTAAATCATTGAAGCATTATCGATATATCATCATATTACGTTTACATATAATGTAAACAAATAATTATATTTATAATTTATTTAATATAAAAATAAATTTTATATATAATTAAAATTAAAGATTTATGTTTACAATTGACTTGCAAACACAAATACACACAATTAAAATAACTTCATTCACGTAAAAGCTAAATAGAATACACCATGATTAAGTCCAATGATCCAAACAAGAGCAATATACAGAAATTATAACATAAATACTCTAAATTACTAACCACCTTTCTTTCCATTGCATTAAATCAAAATCTGAACTGATTCCCCTACCATTGTGCGCTTGCGGCCCCTTTGTCGTACTGCAGTTCATCGTGAAAAAATACAAGAACACAACAAAACAGATTAGGGATGATATAGGTGGAGGAGTAAAGGTCCTACTAAGCTTAAAAATGGAGCGCTCCAAGAGTGGATCAGAAAATGTAGCACCTTGAGCTAGCTTGTTCAATGTGGAACACCACTGCTTCGATGACTTCTTGTATGCAGCAAGTATGAGATCCATCTATGCATCAATTTAAGCACCAATTAGATGATAAGGTTCACTAAAGATGACCCTTTGAGATTAACACTTCCATGTAGGCTAATCTATGCATCAATTAGATCCATATATTTATCAATTTAAGCACCAATGTAGGCTAATCTTCTAAAACACTTTGTTTTTGCATAATGCTGATGTAAAAGTAACTTTTGGTTTCTTACCACATTCCCACACGAAGAATGCATTGAAATCAAGGCTCGTTCCAGCACGTACAAGTCAACTGCTTTGTCTTCTGGGAGCGTTGATGTGAAGCTCAAACCGAAGTCGATAAGGACCTAAACAAAAATGGAAAGGTCGGTTTGAAATTAACTTTAAACTAATGCAGACCCAAAGCTATTTAAATAGAAAAATATAACCACCGACAAGCTTATTAGTTCCATCTCTGATTAACATGTTTGACGTGGTGAGGTCACCGTGAACAAGTCCACCGTCGTGGAGTTTGCCTATTGCGTCGCCAATTTGGGTGGCTATATCGGCTAAACGTTCTTGAACGACTCCGTTTGAGCCAAATCCGAGGAAAACGTCTTTAACGGAAGGGCCTTCCACGTACTCGAAAGTCAGGGTATGGAGCACGGGGTCGACGGCGTAAAGAACCGGAGTCAAAACGCCCAGCCGCCGAGCCTTTGTCATGCACCTAGCTTCCTGCTCCGAACAAAACAAGAATTTATTGGATTTAACTTAACAAAAACAAGGGGAAATGGTTTCGTGGGAGGAAAAACGAACCGCGTTTAAGCGCTTGAGAGTGAGCTTAGAATCGAGAGAAGGATGCCTGTATTTCTTGGAGAAACGTTCTTTGACGATGGACCTTTTTCCCGCGAACAGTGACTCGAAAACTCTCTGTGAATGGGAAACAAAACTATGAAATTGAACATAAATTATAACATTCTTTCTTCACATTTTTGTATCTTGGAAAGAAAAAGGAAGCATTTTTGAACTTACAGCTTCAGCTCCTTGCTTAACCAGAACGAGGACGTCATCTTCAGAATCAGTTTTGGGGTCTATCTCCATTAGTAAGGCTTAAGATAAGATTATCAAACAGAGCAACGGAATTCTTCAGTTAACCGACAAGTTTGAGCTTTTAGTAGGCGGCTGTAGCGAGGGAATGTGGAGTTCGAGGATTTTTTTAAAATTAGGGTTCTAAGTAATTTGGGCCCTCAAACGGATAACAGATGAATTTGGATCCGCTCTCGAAACCCAAAAGTACAATATAACATATAGATTCCAAAATGTTAAAATATGCCATCGATCCATGTATTTGGACGGAGTCTGTGATTTAAAATGAGGAATTAAATTGTTACCAAGAAAAATTTCACTACGACTATTCTATCACGATTTAGAAATATATGGTTCAAATTTAAATAAAAATTATCGAGAATAAGAAACAGGTGATTCGAGTTCTAATAAAAACGAACTAAAAATGAAGAAAGAATTTAAAATACAAAGAAATTGTAGATCAGATCATAAAATGTTCAAATTCAAACTGAAAATTTAATTTGACTCGAACAAATCAAACAATTTAGCTTGAATAACTAAAAAAATTACTTTTTTTCATGTCGAATCAATTTTTACTCGATCCTATTTATAACTAATATGCCATCAATACATGAATCATGCATCTTTTATGATTTTATCTCTTCGACTTTTATAGTGACAAAAAGGGTATGTATAAAAGCTTTACCTTTACATACTACTTACTAAGTTACTATACGTGATAAACAATACGATTGTATTCGTGTGCAGTAATGAAATCAACGACCTCGTTCTCGGAATACCAGCGAGAACCAAACAATCAACTGCTTCATGTTTCTCTCTAAACTGAACATATGCACGACAAAATAAATGAGTGAACTAAAGTTTTATCACGGGCCACGACGGGTGAAACAGAAACAACCTCAAGATTGGTCATCAGGTATCATGCCACCTCCCTTGCTTGTATCCACTGCTTCCAGCAATCTCACCACCTCATCAATGTCAGGACGTCTCTCGGGGTGCCCGTTCCAGCATTTCCGCATGATGCTCGCCAATGATCCCGGGCAGCATCTAGGAATTTCTGGTCGCAAATTCTGCAACAAACGGTATCCAATGTCGTTAACATATGTACCGTCAGACGGTACTACTATAAGTATCAGAGCCAAGAGTAACTCATACCTGGCGTACTACTGCTGATGAAACTTCAGCATAACTAAGATCGGCATAAGGCATATCATAAGCATATACCAAAGCTGTAGACATCACATTTCCTATTGTAAGGTTTCCCATCAAGGACCTACAAAAACTGTCACGTTATATTCTCGTTCTTTACGGAAAGGGAAACGATAGCCGGAAAGAAAAGGGAAGGAGAAGCATTTAGATGATCCAACTGTTGTTGCAGCTGATCAGAAAAGTTTATACTGTCAATGGATGTCAACAGAGTGGATACCTCTGGAGTCATGTAACCAAGAGTGCCTGTTTTCCCCCGTCATATCTCTTGGATTCTGGGCTTCAACTCGAGCAACTCTGAAATCAGCTATTTTCAAATTTCTACGAGCATCTAGCAACATATTTTGTCTTTACATCCCGATGAACAATCTTTTTGGAATGAAGATTGCTCAAACTGCAGATGTTGAGCAAAAATTATCCCTTACTTTTCCAAAGAGTAAACATTGGAAATCCTAATATGCCTAAAAAAAGTTCACTCACCCTCTAGAGAGGTCCAACGCAAGCTGAATCACCACCTTAAAGGCAAGTTTCTTCCTCCTGTTTCTGATCAAAAAATTCTTTAACGTCCCACCAGTAATGTACTCGACAACAACACAACATGCTCTAGAAGGAAAAGAATTATTAATCCCGCTTGTCGAGTCTTTACACGGGATCTTAAGATTGGACGTTCCCATTGAAGCTCCAATAAACTGGTTAAAATAAGAAATCATGATTGGAACATCTAAAATCAAAATAGTTGAAGGATTAAGTCGTGATATTGCAGTAGCAACAACAGTCATAACTCGTAACACTGAACATGAATGGGAAGTGTCATTTCCCATGCTAACTACAACTAAATTATAAATTGGTTTTACCTTTGTAACATTTGGATGGTCAAGTTTATGCCAAACAGCAACCTCTTGCCGGAAAGATGCCCGAAGAGCAGCAGTTTCAGCGGCTGTGGCAATCCCATCCTCCCCCAAATCCAATACCTTCACTGAAAAGTTAAGAACCCTTTGTAGTCAGGTAAGGACATCAGCAAGCCAGATATCTGCTTAAGAACTTCTATCGTTGCAGCGAAAAATAAGTTCAAGTATTGAATCGGAACATAATAAAAGCGGCAAATCATATAGAGTCCATGATTTGATATTAGTGATTACTGCCCCTAGACAAATGTTCAAATCAAGCATCATCAGAAAGTAAACATGATATCAGAAATTTACGTACTCCATCTAAAGAACTCAGTAGAGAGAAGCAATTTGGAGCAATAAGCCGTCCAACAAAGTACTAAATTGCGGTTACTGTCGGTTGAGAATGTTGCAGACATAAACAATTTGCATTCTCGTTTACACGCAGAAAATAAGTTACTAGAATTGATACTGTAGTTCATTAAACATCCTGAGACTCACCTCAAGTTTCAAGCACCATTTACTCCAGAAACTATTCTGTATTATTACACATGATCCTACGCTTCGTAATAATACAGAATAGTTTCAGCCTCAAAAGCAATGAAAATAAAGTAAAAGTTTAATGATTAGAATACAATTTTTAAAAGTCTAATAAGCTAAGTAAAAAAGAAATGTAAAAGTACAATGACTAATCATTTTAGTTTATCCTTTAATTTATTGAGAAAAAAAAGTTAAAAATAGAGATTAGTCGACTTTTCATATTATTATTTTTGTTGCCGTCCCGATTTCTAAGATTTTACCTTGATTAGTTCGAACTGACCAAGTCGCATACATAGTTATAGTGGGTGAGTCTCCCAATAACGATTTTCTATGTACACAATGACTCTAACTCAAACATATTTAAACAGATATAAAACTACTTAGGCGGCGTTTGGTTCGTGGAAAATATCATTACCAAAAGGAATGATTTTTTCCGGAATTGCATTACAACATTTGGTTCATGAAAAATATTGTTACCAGATAAAAACTTATTAGCAATAGTAGCACTTTTGGTTAAAATGGTGGGGATGTCATTACCTCCAAATTCTTAGGTAATGAACAATTTCCGCCATTTTTGAGACAAATAACCCTGAAATAATGAATTATTTTCATATAGATCATTCTCAATTTTTATTCTTCGTGTTTTACTCAAAATTATAAACTAAATAATAATATAAAAAGAGTTTAATTTAATAAAATATTAATAAATTTGAGTAATTAAATTTTTTATTTTTAATATTTATTAAATTAATCATTTTATAATTTTATGAGGTGAAAGTATTATTATCATGACAAATATAATTATTTAAAACAATATCTAATTTTGAGTTATTAAAAATATATATTTGTTCACTCGATATCACAATATTATTTTTCATATAATATTATATTATATATAAATAAATATAGTATTCATGAAAAATATTTTAAAAAAATAAGTTTAATATACTAATTATATTAATTATATGTTAAATATATTTTTCTTTAAACTTAGATAATGTGATAATTAAAATATTTTTATAAATTTTCATTCAATTATCTATAATTTAATATTAAAGTTTAACTTACTAAAAAGAATATATATCACAATGAAAATTTGATAAAATATGCATCGAAGTAATTTTATATTAATTTTAAGAGCGTAATCATAGGAAATTTAGAGGATTTCCTTGCTCGGCTGCTGCGATTGTCAATAGAATTAAAGAGGTTGTTAAGATTAAATTGTATAGATGTTGCATGAACATGCTATATGGCGTAAATAAGCAATTGTGCATTAAATGGGGATTGATCTAGTTGTTTTGTACTGTCAATTGTAATAGCTTGTCTGTTTTTTTGTGTGGATAAAATATAATTTTACTTATCCAAAAAAATTATTATTATTTTAATCAAACACTATAATCTTACTAAACAAACCAAACAAAATAATATAACATTTATATAATAATATTACATTATAATAATTGTATTCCTAAATATAATATTACATTCCGTCCTTATAATATACGATTTTAATCAACTTTTTTTGGATTTGCCAAAACGTTAAAAAGAAAATCGCAACGGTCAAAAGATTTTGTTTCTTAAGAATTTTCTCTAAAAAGATAGTATCCGCGCGGACGTGTCGAAGACACGTATTACCACGACCACGACCACGACCACGACCACGACCACGACCACGACCACGACCACGACCACGACCACGACCACGACCACGACCACGACCACGACACGACCCGACCCGACCCGAGACGAGACGGCGGCGGCGGCGGCGCGCGAGAGTCCCCCTTGTCCTCTTTCACTCAACAAGGAAGTGCAAAATACAAGCCTTAAATATAATTCCCAATAGTGTTTCCAATACTATGTGGGATTGAGCATTACCAACACTTGTTCCCAATATCATTATTCTTCATAAGTTATCATCCATTACAATATGAATTATCGATAATAAATTAATTCATTTTAATAAGTATTTAAAATTATAACTTGATAATACATGAAATAATTCTATTATTAAATAAAAAATATATTTTTATATTAAAATTATTGAGATAGATATTTACTATAAAGTAAAGATTTTTTTTCACGTACAACCTCTATGTGAATTAGTTTCACAATAGGTATCGGTTATGCATTGGATTCTTTCGTATTAGATGGTCTTTAATAAGATCATCATCATCATTCTTTTGTTCAACAATACCATATATTAATGAGGTATATTGGTTCATTAACACGACTAATTCATTGTAATGGATGATAACTTATGAAGAATAATGATATTTGGAACAAGTGTTGGTAATGCTCAATCCCACATAGTATTGGAAATATTATTGGGAATGGTATTTAAGGCTTGTATTTTGCACTTCCTTGTTGAGTGAAAGAGGACAAGGGGGACTCTCGCGCGCCGTCGTGGTCGTGGTCGTGGTCG